GTAAAGCAGTTTTCAGCAAAGACAAGACTACAATAACACTTTCCTGTTAAGTTTTATTGGGCTTGAGCTATATTCAATATATTCCATTTAAGCCTCCACACCATTAAACTGGAAGAACTAGGAACTGCAGAGCCACATGTGATAGCAAGAAGCCAGGTGGTATTTGTTACTGAAAGATAAAAATGACATCTTACCATCTTGATAACAAGATTTATTGACGAGCCCTGGATTATCTGCAAGGGCAGCATTAATCTCAGTCACTTCTCCTGAGAGAGGAGAGTAGAGTTCACTAGCAGCTTTCACACTTTCCAAAGCTCCAAACTCATCTGAAACACAGAATACGATTGAATACTTTTAAGAGGAAAATACAAAGCACTGTAATTTTTTTAGTCAGACATTCTGGTGATGATCTAGCCATTGAAGAATTATCTTCATCTTGAGCAAGGAAAACTGTCAAAGAGATTGAAGTCACCAACTTCAACCAATAATGAGCAGTATTAAATTTGATGTTTATGCTCCTGAATTATTCTGGGGAACTTGCATAACACTAGCTAGCTGGCTGCTACAGAGGGATGGAAGTTTCTTACTTTTGGCTAATCCTTTGCCTAAAGCCCTACAGCATACGATAGGATAAAGGGTTAGAAGGAACCACATCCAGCTCTTGCTGCAAGAGACCTAAATATGCCTTCTGTCTGCACTTTAAACCTTTTTATACATAATTTGATTACAAAACACAATTTCAGGAATCCCAGTTTTTCTTCAGAAACGCTATCAAGTGTTACATTTGCACTCACTGGAAAACACACATTAGTATTCAGAAGCACCACACTGGAATCACCCAGCCACTCTTCCCTTTTTTCTGTTTTGTAGGCAGTTATGGAAATGCTGCCTGGAGCAATGTTAGTCCAGAGTAACTCTAAGCCACAAGCAAACAAGTCAGGCTGGAGGAACATGGAGCTGTCAGAAGAGTAGAGAGGCATCAGCAACAAGGAACCAGAGAACAACATGTTCTGGGGAAGCTTGGAGTTAGATTAAGGCCAGAACGGGTAGAAAAGAGAACTAAATGGAAATTAAATTCCCTCAGATAAAACAAAAACTACAAGTTGGTTAATTAAAACGCTGAACAGAAAGACAACTTTTGTCCAACATTCACCATTCAATGCAATGTAATAGATCTGGGCAAAACAGTTCAACGTGGACCTGTTCCACAAGGATGGCAAAAGAAAGGCCTGCTCCTTTACCTCGGTAAATCTACATTCTTGTTCTGCAATGTCTGAAGCTAATGACAATCTTTTCTTCATATACTAGTGAGACAGCTCTGTGAATGTAAATACAGGAATAGGCTTTTCCTTTCTACCTGTTAATGCTCATTCTTCTTTAACATGGAAAATTACAGAACTGAATGATTAAGAATGTAACAATTTGTACGTTGCTAATGAGCAAAAACCAGGTCATTGTACACAGTACACATTCCAGCTGATACCCCAAAAATTACTGAGTCTGTATATCCATAGAAAAATTAGAACTTGATATCAATTAGATGTTTCACATCATGCAACTTGTGAAACACGTAACTGCAGAATTACAAATAAGCCAGCCTAAACACTAGCAAGTCCAAATCAAAGCATAAATATTTTTAAAACAGAGTACAGATAAAATTATTACAAAAATATGTTCCAAATGTTTGGTTTTTAAATAAACATCTTTACAGTTTAACAAGCAGGTATTTCCTGCTACCATGCATGGTCTGACAGTGAGAATTTGAAATTAAAGCTGTCTCTTGTAGAAATACCTGAAGTCATTCTGCATCCAGAAGGTTTATAATGGTACTATCATAAAATTCATCTTTGCAAAGGGAGAGTAGGATGAGTAGGGTAATTACTTCATTAGAAATTAGAGCTGAAACTTACCATGTTTACTCAATTTTGTCCCAATTTCTGGAAGACTACAGTAAACAACATCTCCTAATGCTTCCTTAAAAGAAAAACAAAAGCATCAAAGCATACATTAAAGAAACTATACACAGGAGAGATCTGATACAGTAACTCTAGAATCATTGTATATAAGTAATTCTGTCTCTAAATTTAGTTCTTGTTCTTTAAGGACTGCACATTTTTCACTTTTCCTTTTTAAACACTTGACTTGAAAAAAATGCTCTGTTATCATGCCCCCAACACCAAATTATTGTTTATCTATTACAGTGTTAATAACCCTCAGGCTGAGTTACAAGGTTTATATACAGATTTCTTCAGGCAGAATGAGAAATAACATCTGCTGATCTTCTTAGCATCAGCTAGAGTAACAACAGTTTTAAAGGACAAAGTTCCCAATGATCTGAGGGAATTCTCTTTTTGTTACAAAGCAAAGAGGATCTACTTCCAGTGTGATCTGAAAGAAAACGTAATGATTGCTCTCCAGAGACATGGACGTCAGGAGAGCTGTTAAGTGTAGACTTTGTCCTTACTGTCTTAATAAGGAGCCTTATCACCATAAGTATCGGCTCAACCAGAATAAGCTTCTGCCTCTTCACTGACAAATGTACCCTATCTTATGGAAGACTAGGGATTTTACAGAGTATTAGCACTGTTTACAGAAAACCGAGATTACAGGGAATGCTGCTTGTCCCAAGAAACAGTATTGCACTTCACTGATTGCTTCTCACATTAGACTAAGTTTCCCATTCAGTGAATCTCTATCCTGAATTTGCCTGTGACTATTCCAAATCAAGTACTTGTGTGAGAACAAAACAACATCCAAAGGAATTCCTATCCTAGAGTATGAAATACATGCCATGTTGTACTTCTATTCGCAATTGTTCTTTAGCCAGAGGGATTGCACCATATTCACGTTCAAGGGAAATTTGGCCTAAAAAGCGCATGATATCTTCTTCACATAGCCATGAACTCCTCAGGCCTGTAAGAACTGAAGTAATAAAGGAGGTCTGAAATTCTGCTGAGCCATTAAGTTTCTCATCAAGTTCAGCTCTCCATAGGCTCAATCTGGCGTGATTAAGAATTTATCAGAATGCTGAAGCAGCATTCCTTTCACAAATAATGTGATAGATCCAAGTCCAAAAATCGCACTCAGTGTGTAGCATATGCAATTAAAACAAGAAAAAACAGTAACCGTCCAAAGAGCAAGGACGAGAGCAGGTACGCATAAATAAATACTGCAGACTTGGGTAAGGGGGAGGGATCAATACCTGTGCAAAATTGCTGATTCCTACTGTTCCAATGCCGTTTTCAACGGATACCCATTCATGCTTGTCTGTGAATTTGCGGGCTAAAATGAAACAAACTTGGTATTTCAGAAATAAGTGACATGTTGCTCACTTAAATACAGTAACACAGTTGCATGCTTAAACTGTGGGGTTTTTTTCTACTGGGGTTAGTTTTGTTTGTTTTTCTTGGAAAATATTTTAAATTTACAGAAGCATTCTGCTCTGCTCGTGACATGTTTAGCGACACGGTAGAGGCTCAGTAGAGGTTCTGCTGAGGGTATTCCTGGTTCCTGTGCAATCACCTAGAGACTGATAAAGTACAGGAGCAAAAGGAGTAGTTCTGCTTCAAACAAAAGTATAAATCTAAAGCATATATGTGTACTGTCCTCACAGTTATGCACTTCTATGATAGCTTAGTGGCTTTTCAAGCATATTTAGTGGCTTTTCAAGCATATTTAGTGCTTGTTTCTGACAACTTTATTATTCCTGGGAAGGCCAGTGTTAACCACCCGTTAGAAACAGTGTCAGCGTTAAGCATCTCATTCAAAGTACTTAAATAGAGCCATCAGATGAAGTAAAAAAGTTGCAGCCTAGCTAGTTGGAGTGGCTGACTCCCTTCCGGACATTTCCTATAGAGTCTATTTCTCCCTGGTTAATGTTGTCACAGATCTATGTAAAATTAAGTCAAATTAATCCAGGGCAAATTAGTAAGGCGACTCATACAGGTAACTGCTACTTGAAAGAATTTGGTCTCTGTTAATACTGTGAGAAGAACACAGTAGTTATTCTGTATAGTTTTAAAATAAGCACATTTAAGACCCTATTAAGTCTTTTCACAGCAATCTTACAATTCTTTGTATACTTTAGGTCTGTAAGATTCAGGGCAGCTTGTACTAGCTTTTATTACAAGCAATTCTTTTTATAAAGTCATACGGAACAAAACTTCAAAAGAGGTAATTGAAACGGGCAACATTTCTCTTGCTAACATTTTATCTGGAAATTTTCTTACTCTTGAGTATTTTCAGCCTGCTTTGTCTGTTTTCTGACTTCCATGGTTTCCTCATAGATACTTCCCCCCTACCACCTTTTATTTTTTAAAATTATTTTTAATTTTCACTTGTAGCACCTATCCAATCAGGCAAGGGATGTTCCAGAAGCTGGACAAGATAATTTCTTAAACAGAGCTCCCTGTGTGATTAGTGCCCGAGTAGTACAGCTGGACTTTCCTTTTGAGTTCAAAATTCCCCTCTCAGGCTCTCCATCTAGGCCGGACTCTTTACACCCACTAGAGAAACAACACTTCTGCAAATCCTTGTATATTTTCTAAACTTGTACATGAAGGAAAACAGAAGTTCTCACTGTAGACCTGCTAAAGTCTTACCACTGTCAGTCAGTCGTATTTTAAACTGTTTCAACAGTGATCCTCTTATGTATGTCCAAACACGTGTAGGAGCAGCAGATAAAATCTCAGATAAAATCGTTTGTCTTTGAAGATGGCCTAAGTTTTACAGACCTTGGTAGAGCAATACATGTTTTTGCAAGTACAGTACGCAAAAGATGTTGAGTAAAATGGAAATATGAAATATTTTTCCATGAACTATCACTCAAAGACCCTGGAGAATTTCAGCTAGGATTATTTATACCTACAAAAATCTCTCAGGAGACGTTCTAATCAACAGAAGAAATCAAATGTCTTAAATCATTTTAGGTCAAGACATTGAACACATAGGAACTCACTGGAAATGAGTAATGAACCATAAGAATGGAGAATGACACAGCATCTCAAACCCAAGCTGAACATTTTGTGACATTACACATCAGAAAGAAGCCAACCAGTATCTTTTTATGTAGGATAATAATATTGTATACGATTTTTTTATAAAGCAAGGTTTAAAAAGAAAAAAAAAGAAAACCAGGAGACTTCCATGATCAGTTTGGAACAGAGCTGTAAAATTCTCAACAGCTGGAAGAGCACATAAGCTCCTTGTGGGACAAAGAAGTGAAAAATGAAAAATTCTAAGCATGTAACAAAAAAACACTGCAAATAAAGTAAAGGTCAAATTAAAGAGAGTTAATAAGTAATCTCAAAATTTGAACTTTGAGCTTAAGTGGTCAGCCTATTAAATAAATCAAATTAACCGAATATGAAATATCAAAGCATACCAAATCTCTTCTGTGAACATTCTTTTTCAGAAGAGCAGCTAAATTTACTCTAGCTTCATTCATTCCAGCATGACTTTGGTTTCAGCTTAACTAGCACATTCTGAATTCAGACCTTCATTTAGTTTAGCCTGCCTCTGTTAAATATTTCAATATACACCTCAAGAGTGAAGGAAAACTCACACCTCCACAAAGAGGCAGAGAAAATTTTTCCTTTCTGCCTAAAGCAAAAGCATAATTCATGTTATTCCTTCAAGTTATAGCTACAGAAAACCAATGGGTATATTAAACAATTAGAATAGTGAAAAAAAGCTTAGATTTTGACTTAGTTTGCAAATAATAACTAGTAAATGTTGTTCCGTTCACTTGTAGCAGAAGGCAGTTAAACAGATAGGTTAAAAGACCATCTGGAAGGAAATTTATGATCTCTTCCTAGTGGCAGTCATTACTACTATAGCAAATTCTCCTCCTCTCCTCTCTTTTCAACATTCCTGTTTTCTAAAGTACCACAGATTCTGTTTTTCAGGATTCTGCGGCTAACTTTCATTCAAAGAGAGCTTCAACAGCGGCAGATTCTTTCAGAATTAACTACATTAACTGCAAAATTGCCCCGACGTGCAAGCCCACCTCCTGCCTTAACGCTTCTGTAGCTATACCGCACAGGAGCTGGTGAGACCAAGCCAAGCTCCTTTAGCACAAAGCAGGCCCTGAAAATCCAGCTTGGGTTTCCTGGCAGCCCACGCCAATCTAAGTGCTGGGGCTGCTGCAGGCCTGCCTCCTCCGTCCAGCCCTTGCTGCTGCTGCTCCTCGGAGCTATCGGCGCCCTGTGCCAGCGCAATGGTGCCAGGCAAAGCTATCCGCTCCTCTTGTCAAATTCGTTTTCTCCAGACTCCGTGAAGCCTGCAGCTGGGGACAGGGCCGCTTTGCTGAAAAAAACCTGCAGCCTGGAGAGGAGGTTAAAAGTTTTCTGCCGATTAACGGAGATGAACCAGCTCCTCGTGGGAGGAGGAACCGGGAGGGTGTCAGCACCAGGACAAGGAGCAGGTGAAACCCGCACCGCCAAAAGCGGGGAGGCGTTAACCACCCCCCGCAACTCTAAGCCCTTGCAAGGCCTCAGCCATCTTGCGAGGCTTTTCCCCGCTTCCCACAGGGACGCCCCCGCACCAGCGGCCGGGGATGAGCCGCCCGAGAGCAGGGCAGCTCCGGGGGAGCCGCAGCACCCCGCTGCCCCCCGCCGTGCCCTGCCTACCGCGCCGGCGGCCAAAATCGC